AATACATTGGGGGGGGGGGGGCGGTTGTGAAAAAAGTGTAGAACAACACCAGAAGCACCTTTGGGCATTACTTATTTTTGCCTGTCTCCTGCAGTATGATCAAGTGTCCTTAACACAAGCACTGGACATCACCTAACCACATGGCACTCGCTTTTAAATATACCAGATGACAAATGTTCACCATTGATAAAAATTAACAAACAATGAACTCACAATATAGGTGTTATCAAAAAATCACCATGTTGCTTTTTTTAATGTCATTTTATTTCCATTATTATTTTCAAACTTCTGAAAAATGAATTCTATTTTAACAAATCCAAGAGAGAGAATATTAGGACAAGATAAAAGAGAGTACATACATAGCAAAAAATAGAACTAGAATTGAATATTAAAATAAATAGAATCTGATTTGTTATTGACCAGAGTAACTTTTCCCAAATGCAGTTTGTTCTACTGATGCTATTTGATTAACTGCATTACATTTTTAATTCCTAAGTTGCTTAGTAACAAATTGTCTGACATTGTCACTAATGTTTAGGAAAAACTGATGTTTACTTCCTTAATTTTTTTTTATTTTGAAAGTATTTTTTAATTTATTCAGGAAGTAATGCATATTAGAAAATTAGACATGATTTGAATTCCCTTCTTTGAAATTTTTCAGAATCTTTCTATGAAGAAATCTCAGGAAAAAGCTGAATTTGGGCGTGAATATGAAGATGATGATGACAATGATGCTGCTGCCGACGATGATGATCTCTCAGTGGTTTCTGATACTACAGACAATCATCGATAAATAAAATCATGTTATTTTAAGTATAAAGAGTTCCAGAACATATTCTGTAACATTTTTAATTATTTAATATATTGTGTTTCTGACAGTAATTATTTTTAAGAAATATTATTTTGCTATTACTCATTATTACTCAACCCAAATATATGTAGAATATTTGAAAAAGTGACATTACTTATAATTGATGTATTATTATTTGAGTGTGGGTAATAAACGATTTCAAATATTTTGAAAAAAAATTCTGGTTTTATAAACTCAATAATAATAGCTCATGCATATTTCTCAAATATCTAAGCCTTCAGCATTTTCCTATTTTATAAATCTTATTACAAAGCATTTATTGATTTTATCACTCCCTGAATTCAATTATCTGCCATAATTTAATTTCTCTTAAACACTTTTCTTTACATCTTAAAGTTGTGTTCTGTAAATCTGTTCTTAGGTCTGGCTCTGAAACAAATTTTAACAAATTTGTATTGTTTCTATCTATTGCCATTTAAGATTTCTTTGATTTAATAACTATCCTGGAATCTGGCTATTGGTATTTCAAATTACTTATTTTTTTAACTTTCATTTCAATCTAATTGCCTTCCAAACATTGTAATATAGTTGTATCTTTTTTTTTTCCACTTCTCATTATTATCTATTGTACTTCCTCCTATATTCACATATCAAGCAGATTATGGGCATTTTCTTCCTGCATAACAGAGACCCAATAGATTAATTGATTTTTCCACCTACAGAGGACAGAATATTGCTTCTGAAGGATTTTCCCCCAAAAGTAAGGTTCAAAAGACAAAATAATAGATTATCCCAAACAACTCTTTGGCTTTCCTCTGAATGAACCTTGGCAAAGATTGCAAAAGAGGGGATGAGATGCCTGCCCTCGAAAATACCCCTCCAGAAATAACCCAGCATTATGAATGGAGGATATGATGAAAGCATCCTCACAAATTTCTTTGAGAGAAGTCTGGATCATCGCCTCAGGTGTTACTCCTTGAAGTTGGGCTGAGATAATATGAGGATCTTACAGCGACACCACTTTTTCAGTAACAGCGTGGTGAATTCATGGAATGGATTGCCAAATCAATGTGCTGGCGAAGCTACACTGTGTTCTTTAATATCAAACTTGTAAGATATGCAGGATACATGGTGTCTAATAACTTTTGATACAATAGGCACTGTTTTTGTTTTACAGCTAACGTTATATGAAGTATGCTACGTGAGGTATCATCATCAACATCAGTTTAGGAGCAGTGCTCCCATCCTATTAGTGCGTAGTAAAGCAGTATTCCTTCATGTGGTGAAGTGTTCTTGCTGGTGCTATCTTCTTGTCGGTCTGCTATTCCTCTTGCCATTCAGTCTATAGTGGTAGACGATTGTCCATTCTTTTTACAGGTTTTCTCCATTTCCTTTGTTAATTTTTTATTTTCCTGCAAAATTTCCTGTATTCAGTTCTTTTCTAATTGTTTCATTTCAAATTTTGCCTCTTCTTATTAGTCCTAATACTGCCCTTAAACTCTTTATCTGAGCTACTTCTATGCTTCTGGTTTCCTTTATGCCCATTATCCACATTTTTTAACCATACATACTTATTGGCTTTGAGGTAGTATTATGAATTCTCATTATTGTTTATTTTCTCATGAGTCCAAAAGTTTCTTTATTATTCCATTGATTCTATTATATTTTTACTTCTATATCCTTCTGGTTCAATCCAATTGAATTACTGAGATATTTAAAAGTGGTAAATTATTCAATTATTGGATTTTCTATTACTGTTTTGGCTCTAATATGTTCTTTGCATAGAAGGCTAGTGTTTTACTTTTCTGGCTCGATATTTTAATTTGATATTCTTTGCTTATTTTGCTTAACTCAAATGCTGCTTTCTGTAATGTGTCTTTTGAGTCTGTTATTATGTCTTGGTCGATTGCAAATAATAGTCTCTATTTTCCGGTTGTTGTTATCTTTATTCCTGCTTGAGTTTTCTGTTTATATATTTTGTCATGCGATTTAAGTAAAAGTTTTAAAGTCATTTAAGTAAAAGAGTGGTGGTGACAGTGTGCATCCTTGTCTTAGGCCTTAGTTGATATTCATCTGCTGTGATGTGCCTTGGTCATTTTTAATAACTATTACGGATTCTTGGTACAAGCTCTGTATATTTTTGGTTAAATGTTCTGGTACTCTTTCTTCTTTCTAAATTTCCCATAACTTTATATTTTAGACAAACAGATGGACTCATTGCCAGAATCAAGAGGCAGTACCCAGTGAGCTTAACACAGCCATGGAAGAATAGTATATAATAGAAGGTGAAACCCTCTTTGACAGTATGGACATGGAGATACATATTCTGTATTCCTACATGACACAGCTGTTAAAACTATATATGATGCCATTCAGGTGAGCCAGTCGCCCCACACCATCCTCCCTGGTCACTCAGCTATTGAAGGACTCGGGACCCTCTAAAACCTGCCCAGACGCTGCATGGGACAGAGCATGACAGTGCAACTGCCAGGAGATCAACAAAAACCATCATATCAATATATCAATTGATTTGATGTGAAACTCGCTTTTGTAATCAAATAAGAAAGTTGAAAAGATATTTAAGGTGAAAAGGTGGAAATGTGAAAATCAGACCTTCACTTCAGATTTATTTACCTGTACTAAATCAATTGATGTGAACATTGAAATTTAACTAAAAAAAAATCTTCTCCATGAGACAGTAGTAAAGGGTGCAAGGTGCAGGTTTTATTAAGACTATATCATCCAATCTTTTATTAAATGCAAATGCATATTTAATTTCATATTTATTGCTGTGATTCTAGTCTCCAAGCAATATTGAATGAAGGTAAATGGATTATTTGCACGTTCACATTTTTGTATGTAATGCAATATTCACAGGCAAAACACAACCAAACTATTAAAGTTGTACTACAAGACCACACTTTATCGCATTAGTGACAGCTATGTAAAATTATAATATCGCAATTTCTGTTTGTATCTAACTTGTCAAACCAATTAGACACAGAAACTCCATTTAAGTCACTGGTTCCATTTCACTTACATTACAATTAAGCATAAGAAAATTCGATTATAATGAACATTGAACCTCGGCTGTATTGAATATAGGGAATAGGACGTCCTGGAAATTAATTCCCTCATGGGGAAAAAACAAACTTGCTACAACCAAAAGGATCTTTTATGTTATTAGGTGAGTCAAAGGGACCTTCTAAGAGTGAGATGGTGTTAGTGCAAGAGGCATTGAAGTGTGTCAAGACTGCATTATGATTCTTAGAGACAATGGACAAGGCAGTATCAAGTTTGTAGAGAGCACAACCTCGAGAAGAATCTAGAGAAATAACAAATAAAAAATGTATGGAGCAAACAATTAAATATATTTCCTTTTTAAGGTTAAATAGAGATCTTGAAATTTTCAGTTTGTGCTGTGAATGTCTTATGCTGTATCTCTATATTAATAAAATTAATCACAGAGGAGAAAGTCTATATAATTTTGACATCATTGGATATAGTGAACTAAGAAGGTTGGTCCCCAGAAATTCACTATAACTGGAGTTGACTGTATTTTCAAATATTCCAAAATCGGTCGGATATACATCACAGTTTCTTCATCTCTGTCACCTTAATTCTTGGGAACACTCTCCTCATCAGATACAGTGCAGAAATTCTCTCTTGACGACTGCTGAAACCTGTCTGTTCCATTTGAGATCTTGGGTTACAACCACGCCTACGTCAACCTGTTCGGTCACTGGTTGTATTGTTGTACAACCACCAGTCTGGTACAGATTTCTGGGTTTGTTTTTGCCCAAATGAAGGACACTGTATTTGATGTTATTCGATGGGAGTAACCACAAACCGGACCACTTCTCTATCCTTTGCAAATCTCCTTGAAGGTCCACTTGTAGCAATATTGGGCACATAGCTTAGTGTCATCAGCATAACTATTTCACTTTGATCTCGAGCCTTTTCTAAGGTCAGCTATATACAAAAGAAACAAGATGGGTCCCAGAACAGAGCTCTGAGGAACACAACTTTTAACAGGTCTCAGCAAAGAGAGAGAGAAAGAGTGCTTCCAAAACAAACTTGAAAAGTTCTACCACTGAGATAATCTTCATTCCAGCGATGTAATTGGCTTTGGCATAGTCGAGGTAGATTATGTCAATGGGGTAACTTTCATCAGTCGCCCTAGCCCAGTCATTCAAAGCACTCAGTAGGTTGATGGTTGAGGATCTGCCAGGTACAAAACCATGTTGCTGTCAAGGAATAACCTCATTGATCATTGTATGGTTAAGCAGCTCATGCATAATAAGCCTTTTCATTACCTTACCCACTTTGCTGGTCAGACTGACAGGACAATAGTTATTGGGCAGTTGGTTGTTTCCTTTTTTAAAAATTGGAGTGGTAACAGCAACTTCCACTGTAGCAGGACCTTGCCTGCATCCAGTGACTGTAAAGATTTCCATCAAAGTAGGAGCAAGTTGTGTTGCACATCTATTCAGAAATTCCATAGGAATGTCATCAGGTCCTACAGCTAAGCTCTCATCCAATTCCACATAGCATCTGAGCAAACCATGATTAGAGAGAGATCCACGTTTTCAAGAGTGGCAATATTCAGGTCTTCAACTGTTGGAAGGGGACCATCCAGTTCAATGATAGACTTCCCGAAAGTAATCCGCATAAACCTCTGTGATTCTTATCTGATCAAATATGAATTCACCTCCCACATCCAAACACATCGATGAGCCAGTTTTGTTCATCGTTCGACTTCTAATATACGAGTATATTCACTTTCCCCCCCTGGATAATATCTTCCTCACATTTTGCATTTGTTTTTACTAAATTTTATGATCTTGTTATTAAGTCCACAGTAGATTATGTAAACCCCATCCTTTCTGGTTCTTCTACAAGTAACCCATGCCCAGAGTATATATCCCCTGCCCATGCCCTTCACTTCGCTCTCGATTTCTTCACTATTTCTCTATCAATCCATTTCTCTATCCTCCTTCCCATTAAGCTTGCCGAGTAAGCACCTACTTAATTGCTATATCCTTTCCCAGAAATTATTGTAATTCTAGGGCATCCTTCCACATTTAATATGCGATTCCAGGCCTGTCTTTATCAAACTGTAATCAGCAATTGCAGTAATCCAAACTTGGCAACTTCTGCCTTGGAATTGAACGAGATATTTCTATTTGTAAAAATGTTATCATCACTGGTCATTCAAACCAACATTTGGTCTCATACTAGGTGGAGTAATAATGCTTTCACCTGTCACAAGCAGCAAGTCTAATAGAGACAGATTCTGACAAGCTCTGATCCTGGTTGGTTCGGTTACCATCTGGATTACAGATCTGTAAGGATTCACGCTCCACTTTGTTTCTACCAAGTACACCATGTTTTGACCACATAATATTTGAAAAATTAATATTTCGGTATCGAGTCACCAGCTCATATTGATTACATGCTCCTTCAATAGTTTCAAACTATCTGAACTGCATGCCTAATGTTGTAGCCAGATGCCGGTAGTCTACACCCCCCCACTAATATAATTTGAAAACTCCTAGCAGAGAATTTTAACCACAAAATCTTCCACATCTGTATCTTAGAGTTCAGAAAGCCTGGTTATCATAATACCTTTAGTTTGCATCTTCTGCTTAACGTAGACAGCCCCCTCCTCTTCTGTCCTCTCTATCCTTTCTGTAAATACTATATCCTGTAATACACATCAGCGAGACTGCAAATCCAAATTTAACGTCTCTGTAAGGATAATGATATCTGGTTTTGTCTGATCAACCTCCAAGGCAAAAATATCAATCTTAAACATTAGAAATGATACATAGGAATACAATGGAACATAGCATAGAGAATAATTTTGTTTTTTTAATAAACTGCATTATTTTCAAGCAGAAGTTACATGAAATGTGCTCGATTAAAAAAAATTAAAGAACGAATTTATTTTGAACAAATTTTGTTTATGACAAAAATCTACATCTTCAATTTTGTAGTTTTGAAAGGATAACTTTTTACAATTTTAGAAAGTTCAGTTCACCGGAAATGAGACTAGCACCACATTTTTTTACTGTGCTTTGGTAACATTTGAAGAGAAAATGTAAGGGAATTTTTTTAACCATTTGGAGGGGGGGGGGGGAATTTAAAAAATTACCTGTATTTCAAACAAAATTACTCATACTTTTCAAAAATTATACATGACCTTATTTTAAACTCTTCTTTAGGGCACTACTGTTGATCACAGTCAAAAAAAGGTGTTTTGCTGTTCAAGGGTGCAAGAACCCACAAAATATGGATTCTGCCTAGTTTCAAAAGTGACCTACAAAAAATTAAAAAAATTCTTAACTTCATTAATTTCTTTTCACAATTTGAATCTGTGTACAAACCAACACTATCATGACGAATGAAAACAAAACATGAAATTTGCATAATGTTTTTTCTACTATATTATTGAAGAGTTAATGTTTACATCACACTTTAAAATTACTTTAACTTGATTTAAAAATTATACACTCAATAAAACCAAAAACATTTGAGCCAGTTGAATTTTCATGCCTAGCTATTTTGCATCCCCCTTGTACATTCTGGGCTTTCACCTAATCAATGTGTTCAGTAATATTCAATAAATCTTCTTAAATGACCAGTTTAGATTTAGATTTATTTAGCCAAAAAAAACAGTCAAAAATGTAGGTGACATATGGGGGAGAAGATCATTGTGCATGTTTTCTTGAGTTCCAGAATCCCTTCCCATCATTTTAACCATAAATATTTGAAAGATGAGTAAAAGTTTAAAATAAATAAATTTTAAAAAAGTGTGAAGTTGGCAATATTTGAAAAGAAAACAGACCTTTTGCGATCCTGAGTTGCAGAAAAATTAATTTGCATCGCTAAACGAACTGCAGATATGATTTTTCTGCATTGCTAACAAAATAGTAACTCGCCCTTACCTCTACTCCTACCCATTACAAGCAAAAGGAGAGTTCAACAAAATGTGTGCATAGTGAAGCTACATTTACGTCTAGAAGCAAAACAAGAGGCCATCATCATTTGCTCAATGGATCATGGTAATTGGACAAAAAACCTGACCGAGATGGGTGTCATTGACCTAGAAGCTGAAGAACATTATTTGTTACAAATATATTAGGTCTTTTTAAAAAAATTATACAATACAAATGTAAAGTAATTCAATATACATCAATAATTTGTTAAAATAAACATTACTTTTCTTTTTGAAAATCAGTATGGTGCTGTAGGTTAGTTGATTGTTATGTAATAATACTATGAAAAAACGTATACCTTTTTTCTCTGGGGATGTAAAAAGTATTTTCAGTTGACGTTAGACACAAAAAAATTCAAATTAAATTTAGAATAAGTTATTATTGCTTAAATCATCTTACATGCAGGAATACATATTTTTCCTAACACTTCTAAAATCTGTCAAAAGGAATGCATCTATCAATCCATTTCTTCTTGCATTATAAGAACCAATTCATTCATATTAATTATTTTGCAATCTTACATGATACTACTTACAAGATACAAGGTTACATACACATAATACATAAAAAATGAAAGTTATTAAAGCCACTTGTATAAATCAGTTCACTTTTCTGGCCCTTCTACTCCTGCTTGTGTCATCAAATCTGCAATGTTCTTTTCCAAATCATCAATACGATTGCCCATTTCATCTAGTAAGAGAAGTTAAGGATGTATATATGAGAATAAACAAGAACAGCGCACAACAAAACTCAAAGGAATAATATACAAAATGAAAATTTGGTGTCCAAAATCATATTACACAAATTACAAACACTTCAAAACAATATTTTAAATAAAACTGAAATAGAATGAAATGTTTTTCATTTGATACTTATACATTTACATATATGTAAGTAAAAAATTAATAATTGTAAAAAAGTATTAGTGAAATTGTTTATGAAATAATTTTCTGTTGAAATCTTTGTACAATATTTACTTCGGTCTAGTTTGAATAATCCTACTAAATTCCTAATACCAACAAAAAAAAAATCATATTTGACTCTTATCTTATCCTTCAAAAAATAACTAATATTATTAATGACAAACGCACACACAAATGAATCTAAGAATGTCCAATGATTGAAAATTGGTTTCAAGACATAAAATGACGTTTTTTACTCATGAAATCCATGGCAATTGACTTTAAGAAAGCGAGTTAATTATTACCAGGTTATAGAAGTACACTGATCCAGTAAATACCACTTGAAACGCTACAATAAAGAATAAAAATAATATCACTAGTCAAGTTGTTCATAACGGAACGTGAAAAAGGATATTTCTTGTAATAATTTGATCTGACATTGTCTGGAAGTTGTCTTGCATTCCTTGTAAAAGAGTTTGGACCTAGAAAACGAAAGAAAAATACATAATTACATGTATTTAAATTAGCAGTAGAGGTTAAATCACGAAAGTTTGAGAGGGTGCCGATCATGTCAACAACATTCAGAAGTCATTGGACAACCACACTTTTAATTTTCTTAAAACAATTCGCTCTATACTTACATACTGGGTTAATTCTTGCATGTTTTTGGGATCACTGTTATTGCTAGGAGTGTAATTTTGCTGATCTTCCACAGTTTTCAGATCTTGCTTCATATCCGCCATGTTACACAGTCGATGCAGTTGACAAACTATACCACACTAAACAACCTCCGTTCTTCGACTTGCCTCTGTCCTCTGTGCCCCCGCGGGCTCCCAATTCAAATGCGTGCTTCTGAACCCGAAATGGAAGTCAAAAGATGCTCGTGTCTTTCGTGCGTCATTTTCCCGAAACTTGGGGAGTGGCACTGGCTGGTACGCCCTCTTCACCCCCTCACGCAATGAATTGGTGATCTGGGTGGCACGACCTGGCACAGGTACGGATCGGTACAATATCTGCCAGCAACAGCGTCTGAAGTGGAGCTACTTTCTCAGTTGTCACATTTTCTTAAATATCTAATGAAAACTACACATTCATAACACACTTCATAAAACTACATATTCACATTCATAATTGTAGGTGATGCAAAAAAAAAAACAGCTTCAATAACTTAGTTAATCTGTAAGCCAGTTAGTGCCTCGCCTATTCGAGTAATTACTTCATAAGGGGAACTTTTTATTGCTGGTTTACCTCCGGGGAGTTTTTCATATTGTCTAGTCACTAGTTTATTATTAAGAATATTGAGTCAAAATTTACCTGCACACTAAAACTTAAGTGAAAATAATAAATCATCCTTGAAGTCAATTACCTACCATAATGTGCCCAAATGAAGTTGTGTGAAACTTCTTTAAATCCCATTTTCTAAATAATTAGTTCAATGATATCTTATTCATTTTATTTTGATAACTCCAACAAAAATCACACATAAAAGTTGAAATATCCACATTTTATCTGTGTAAGCATTCCAGCTAAAGTAAATATTAGTCTAAGTCTGGATAAATAGTAAATTTTTTGCATTTTACATTAAAAAGCCTCTAATGATATGACCTTTGGCCATCAGTAATTTTATTAATGTAATTAAATAAGCACCAAGGAACTATTCTTCCATAACCGGGGCCCCCCATGTTTGATTGCATCTTTTAATTGGTATTGTGTCATCAAATATATTGGTAATTTGTACATAAGTCTTGATTGTGACCTTAGAATATTTGTTTTTTGTTTTACTTTGATACCAGTATTTAATTGACATCAGGAGTGAATTTTTATTTATTTGTCAATTATTTTCATTCCTTGAACATAATGAGTGTTTTCATGAATTGAAGCTAGACAATTTAAAAATACTGTATTTAACTTTTAAAATAAAAATAAAAAAATCTTACTAATGTTGATAACAGTAGTTTATCTTATTTTTTAGTAGAATTTTTGTATCAAAATGAAGTTGGCCTGGGCCTGATAATTGCTAATATAGTTTTCATCACTTATATTATTTTCTTGCAAAGCTATTTGCACTTTCCTGCTAGGGGAATATTAAAATCCTTCTCTAAAATTCAAATTTGAATTCATGTGTATGATTTTAGAGATTTATATTTTTGAATGAGCTAATGAGTTCTTACTCCACAAGATCTTATTTGATGTTCTGCATATTGCTGATTGAACATATTTTTAATAAGAATAAATTGTACTTACGAGATTTATACATTAAAAGTGTGGGATCACATAAAACCTGAAAATATTGTTACACTGACTTCCAATCTCTCTCTCTCTCACACACAAGCACATATTTCTGCACATATGCATGCCCCCACCCACATCCACACACAAGCATTTACACCCTCTTCAGCACATCACTGCTCCCCAGTTACAGTGGATGCAAAACAAGTTTTCTTAGTCTTCCCCCGGTTTGAAGTACAGAGGACACATTTTTAATGGCAACTTGGACAGTAGCTGGAGCGCAAGAACATCGTAAGGGGAATGCCAGCTTCTTGGGAGAAGTGGGAAGCAGTGGTGGCCTTCGCGGCCCAAATAATAAAGAAGCTGAGACTCAAGGTGCAGAAGAGATGATGCCCAAGGCTAGGAGGTACATGCCCTATTCACTCCCGTGAAGCTGTCACTGCCTAATGGCAAATCTAAAGGGTTGGAGAAGCCTAGGGAAGTGGTTTTAGTGAGTACACACCCACATCTCACACTAATATGTAGTATGGGCCACATGGTGTCTTTTGAAGATTTCCACCTACCCTTGTATAAAAAAAACAACTAACAAACACACAACAGTAAACAATCTCCTATTAAATGGGTAATAAAAAATCCTGATGTGCAGCAGCTATGATGGATACTGAGAAAATTTATAAATTAAAGACAGCTTGACCTTTTCATCCTCTCATTGTACTAGGAGATATCCCAATTCTGTTTTCACAAAATACTCAATATTGCCCTTTCAAATATCAAGATATCTTTATGTCTTTCTGTTATTGTTAGATCTCATACTCATGTTTTCTAGTCTTATTGTGCAGAACATAATCATACTTACCTGATATTCCAGAAATATGTACTTCACAGACACCAACACACATTTTCTCTGATTCTTAAAATGTAGGATTCACTACCAAAATCTCTCCATCAATCTATTGTTACATTACGTAATGAAAAGTTTCTTTCAGAGACATTGAACATTTCTTGAATATTCAGTCCACCCCAAAGGTTATAATATGGGGGAGTCTTGCCAACATGTTCAGTTTCTCTTCAGGTTTTTGAGGTGAGAAATATGCCTAAGCAGACCTCTTAAATACTGGAACTGTAAATTACTATATTTTTCATTTGAGTATTTAGAACATGTAGAATAAAAAGAAATTAATGGTAAAATGGTCTTTTAAATAAGATGACCCCCCCCATGCATGTATACATCCACATGCACATTCACACTTTCTTTTTTCTGCAATTAGCTGGATTTTTTAAGTCAATAATACAGAAAGTAATTAATGTGTGCTTTGTAATTAATTCTTGCTTTGTTAAATTGCACCAGTATTTACATTTTAAGCTGATAGAAATGGAAAATGTTTTTGAAAGTTTTATTAAAGAAAACAAAAGATAAGCATATTAATTTAAATGAAACTGTTTTGTGGCAAAAGAAATGGATGTTACACAAATTGCAAGGAGAGGATATGAAAATAATATATGAACAAACACAATTGGTATGAATAGTTTATTTTCCTTTTATCAGTTAGTGACAGTATAGAAGGAAGCAAAATATTTTCCTGTGCCATTTCACAGGTCTGTGTATATCTGAGAGCGAGTAATAGGACAGAGGCACCGAGAAATGGGTTAGAACATTTACATCTTGTGCACTTGGGTGAATTGATATGAAGTTCAAGATCAAGTAGAAAAATAAAGAGTGGCAAACATGAACATGTGGAATTAAGAAATATCTCCTTTCCACATGAGAAGAGTCTGATTTCTTCCTAAAGGTAACATGCAGTTTCAAAACTGCCTCAAAATAACATGTATAGATATACTAGCTGCCATACTGGCAGTGGCCCAAGAGAGAAACTACACATTTTCCACCACATGTACAATTCATGCACTGGATAATGTTCTTATACTGTTTGTACAAAGAACCACTTTAAACATTATCTACATACTATCATAGCTCTGTTGGTTATCAACTGACCATTTATAAATAATAATTTTAGTTTTCCTCATCCTCTGGGAAAAATTCAATTGTCTCTGAGCCAAGCAAGCAGGCAGATCAGGGTAGAGAGAAATTCTTGCTGGCATTGAAGTCCAATTTTGAATGTTGATCTACTCTGCAGTACAAACATAAGTTCCAGAGATTTCTGTCAAATTCTCTGGTATCATTGTGAGCAATGAATAATGCTTATGCAAAATTTTAATCTCAAATCGCAATACTATTACCAAAATGGAATTTTTGTCAAATAATGTTCCACTCTACCCTGCTAATATCATCAAAATTCTCAAATCTGATACGATATTTCTCATAATACAAAGAAGGAAAGCCTACTGACAAATATTGTCAACATCACATTATGTTTCAAATGAAAGGCTAAAAATGGTCCTCACCTGTGTCAAAAATACAGGGCATTGAAACTTTTATGATATATTTTAAGACAATTTTTTAGACATTCATAATTACCAAATTTCACTCCTCTAATCCTTGTACATACTGCCTACAAACAGTACAAAAACCAGATGATATTACTGATTTATCTACTCCTATGTAAATCGTTTACAATATCTGCACATACCCCTTGAAGTTTCCTACATCATCTTTCTTGAAGTTTAAAATTAGGGAAAAAAAAAAATTGAGTTTCAATGAGCTGAAAGGAACCTGGTAAAATAAGATAATTTTCATGTATAAAAGTAAGCATTTTCTTAACCTATTACCAATACAATCTTCAGAAAATAAGAATTAATATTTCATTGAACATTCAGAAATTTTAAAACAAGATCAAAAATCTAAATTTTGCGCCTCATTGGTATTTGGGGTCTCTCGCACATTTAACATCTCAAAAAAACTCTGATTCTGAGTTCATACACATATCACTATTTTACTGACACTCACATTTGTTTTGTTTTTATAAACAAATGATTATCCACTTAAAGAAATTTTGTATTATGTCCACTTCAATTCTGGGCAACAATAACAGGTACCATGTCTGGTATAACACAGTGACATATTCAAAATCAGATTATGCAGTTTCACAAGACTGCAAACAAAAATAACAAATTAATTATATAATGATTAAAAAATTACTTGATAACTGCACTTGCACTACTTCAGAAAAATAAAATTTATTACTATATGTAAAGTGAACTGAGTACTTGTTCCTTTCTAAATATTTGTCATATTCAATGGAAATCTATTTTATCTATTCTTCTTGAACAGAATATTTAATACAAAGTGTTTGAGGAAATTATACAGGACAAAACAAATAAATCCTGCAATGAGCCTTTTAATAGCAATCCCTCACATAGACCTGATCATCTCAAATTATACTATCAAGTCTGCACAATAACCTACACAATGGTTTATAAAATAACAAAAATTAGTTGCTTCATCATCTGACCTATTTGTTCTGCTATGAAAATTAACTGTGGCAGAAATAACATATATATGAATGTACAGTCCTGATCTAAACATTTTTGGTTGTAAGAGCAAGAAAGCATTATTATTGCTTAGCCTACATTAATTCATAAAATGTTGCTGAGCAATCAAGTAATACATTCCAATGATCTAGCAGGTGCACAAATAACGATTTCAATATGTACACAGCAAAATGCTCAGTAACACATTTTACAACAGTCTCAAGAATGAAAAGCTTAATGATTGTCATATTTAATGTATGTATTATGTCATATTATTAATGTTTAACCCTTTAAATGCTAATTTCTTGCAGAATGACCTGCTTGCTGATTTTAGATCAGATACCTAATCTTCACACATTTTGCCAACAGAAGACACACATGGACATCTAATTCTCAGAAGAATTAAATATCTTTTTATGAACAACTCGACAATGCTCATATATTGGAAGGAACGGAATAACAACTTACTCATAAATTATATTGCATTCTTAGAAATGTTTATAAAATGATGGAATGGAAAGCTGAACACAATATGAATAACATATGCAACAAATGTACAGATTATTCTTGTTGGACATGATTTCACTTCTCTCCCAGAAAATGCAGTTACAAATCAAACATCTTCATTT